AGATAACCATCATCCTGGCCAAAGAGTTCAAAAATTTGTTGGTCATACCTGCCAACCTGCTTTGGCCGAGGTAACCATCATCCCGGCCAAAGAGTTCAAAAATTTTTTTTGGTCATACCTGCCAACTTCCTGCAGCCTAGATCCTCATCTCGGCTTAGGAGAGCTAAATGTTGGTTATTCTTGCCAACCTTCTTCAGCGTGGATCCTTATCTCGGCTTGAAAAAGAGCTAAATGCTTGGCCATTCCTGCCAAACTTCTTGATTGCCCCCCAGTCAGGCAAAGACTTATTGGTCAAACCTGTCAACTTCCTGCAGCCTAGATCCTTATCTCAGCTTAGAAGAAGTGTTGGTTTTTCCAGCCAACCTCTTCAGCCCAGATCCTAATCCTAGCTGAAGAGAGTTCAAAGTTGGTTATTCCGGCCAACTCTGAGCGAAGTGTTTGGTTTTTCCAGCCAAACGTCCTGCAGCCTAGATCCTTATCCTCGGCTTAAGAGAAGTGTTGGTTTTTCCAGCCAACCTCTTCTGTTGCCCCCCAGTCGGGCAAAGACTTTTCAGAAAGAGTTGGTCAAATCTGCCAACCCACTTTGCCCCTAATTGGGTAAAGATTTTTGCGCGGTCGGTCCTACTTGTCAACCGTGTTATCTTTTGCCGAAGGTGTTTTGTTCGACATTACTGTTGTGCCAGACTCTGCCTCGGTGCGCGCCCCATCTTCCTCTACCCTGATGTGTTGGTGCACTCTCTCCATCAGGGCTTCCATAGTAAGGGGCAGCGTCATTGTCATTGTCATTGAATCCCTCAACTCAGTTCACGATATTCTGCTTCAGTCAATTTTACACCATCAAATAGATACTGCTCGTGTTCTATATCATCTCTGAGCTCCTTCAGTTTCTTCAAATACTCTTGCCTTGAAACTTTCCTTATAGCTCCAATGCCATCTTCCTCAAAAGCATTAGATCTCTGAACAGCTTCTTCTTCCTCCCTCTGTGTTAATTTTGACTCAGTTAGCTTCCTTGTTGCTGCTGCATCCCGCTCTTTGGTCATGTAATTGTTCTTCCTCTGACTCAGAACCATCATCATCATCCTGAGAAGTCCGTCTTTTAACTCGTCTTTCTTTTGCACTGCTCTTCTTTTTCTTTAAATCTTCATTCTCTGTCTTCGTTTTTTTTGGCTTTCTCTGCTTCGAATCCTCCTCCTCTGTCTCCGACTCCTTTTTTCTTCCCTTTGCCTTTTATCTGGCTCTGCATAGACTCTATGTCAGTCGCCATTCTTCTTATTACTTTGTCTTGCTCCCTTCTGCGATCTTCGAGAACCTGAGGATCCATCTTCTGCCTCCGTCTATCAGGGCTTTGAGAGCGGTGTGGACTTGAGCCCTGTCTTTCTCTTGCTTCTCTCTGCAGATTCCTTCGCTGGGGATCTAATTCCGCCATGGGTGGGATAGAAGGTAAACCTTTGCGCCTCCCACCCCCTTCCGGTGTTTGTCCATCAATAATAGATTGTGGCAAGTCTTCATTGTGCGCTATTGCTTTCAACTAGAGATAAAAACTTGATCAAGAGGTTTTACTCTTTGTGAAATTCCCATAGATGACGCCAATTGCACGAGCACAAAATAATTCTTCTCGTATGATCCTGTTGATCAAGTTTGCGCTCCTCCAAACAATGTTGCTTAGCCACCTGAAAACACAAACGTGAGCTAACCGGCGGGTGTGTACCGGAAACCCCTCCGATGCCTAAATCAACAAATAGTCAATAGACAAAAAGCTTTGTATATTCTAGAGTAAGAATTGGGATACCTGTTCATAGGTCTGGTCATGAGCTTTTATAGACTTTACTTGACACAATCCTAGTAGGATTTCCAACTCTCCTTATAAGAGTCCTTCTAGGAATCACACACCCTACTCACTACCAACCAAGTGAGATGGTTTGCACAATCCTAGTAGGACTTTACTCTCCTCAGCAGAGTCCTCCTAGGAGTCACACTCCTACTTACTACCAACTAAGTGAGATGGTTTATACAATCCTAGTAGGACTCTAACTCTCCTTAGCAGAGTCCTACTAGGAGTCTCATCACTGCAAGCCAAGTGAGATGGCTGAACCCTTTACCTCGGTTATACGTTTTTGACTGAACTGCCTTATCTCGGTCTCTTGCCATTCGGACTGTGTGATCGAAAGCCAATCTATCGAATGCCACCCTACCGAGCTATACATAGCTCGACCCTCGCTATTGATGTTACCTCGGTTTTGTCTGTTTAGACCGAGGTAACTGCAGCAGTCTCCGACCGAACTAACCAGGACGAGGTCCAACTTGCGAAGCCCAAACACCTCGGTCCATAATTCGCGGCCTAAATCCGAAATATGAGATGTTTTCTTGGCCTAAAACCGAGCTATACCAGTCCTTATCTCGGCCCATTGCGCGGCCCAACTTCCAAAGAAGACTTTTCCTAACTCGGCCCAATTTATTTTCAAATTACCCTCTCAATTAGTAAGTCCCTTATAAAAAAGTATATATATATATATATATAGATGAAATTCAAGTAACCGTGGTCAAATGATGTGGTTTGCCCGGACCCTAGGGTGAAGCTTTTTACTATATTTTTGGGAAAAATAATAATTTTTTTTTTAAGAGTTTAACCCAGTAACAGATCAAATCTTAAGTTTTTAATTATTTCAATTTAAATTCTTAACTTTAGAATAGTATCAATTTTAATAATCAATTTAGATAATTTTTAAAAAATTCGTCGGAGGTGTTGAACGGCGACAGTAGCTATGGACTTAGGAAGAAATCAGAGAGGGGATAATGAATTAGGAAAAGAAAGGAATACTGGTAGTTATAAACTAGGGAAGGAAAGGAGTAACAATGGATGGGGAAAATGGATAAAGCGGTGGCAGTGAGTTGGGAAAGAAAAGGTCGCAGTGATAGACAATGATAAAAGTGGGAGGTATTTGTCAATAATAATAAAAACGGAAAAAAAAATTGTTAAATTGTCTAAATTGCTCTTTCTCTGTTAGTTAACAAATACAAATTGATGGTTATAATTAATATCATTTTAAAAGTTCATAATTTAAATTGGAACAATTAAAAAGTTAGGGTTTAATTTGTTCATGAGATTAAATCTTTGTGATTTTTTTTGTTTTTTTGGTTGTAATTTTTCATTTTTTTTTATTAGCTTATAATTTTGAGGCAAATAATAACAATTTATAGAGTTGTTGGCACCTATGTCTTTTTCAAGAAATTTTAACAAGTAATTTTATTTTCACACATTAATTTTTTTAGTTCACACACTTGGTTAAATTTTTCCTTAATATAACTTTATCCTAAAATAAAAATGTCATAATACTTTTATCTTCTTTTATGCAAATCTTAATTCTAAAACACCACAACCATCCTCCATTGCTAACGCCATCTCTTTCCTCTACCATACCCTCTCATTGTCTCTTTCCTCCTCCACTTGTGGCAATCTTCCGCCATCAACCATACACTTGCACAAGCCCTCCATTACGAACCACCTATTTTCGAGATTGATTGTGGAGGTCTAAGATGGAAGGAGATGTATTGGGAGTGGCAGTGACGATAGAGAGCTAAGAGTGGTGACAATGACAACGAATGAGAGGTGGGTGAATGAAAAAAAAATTAGGGTTTTAAAATTGAAGATGTGGGGAATTATTGAAATAAAGATGTGTACTAAGATTTTTTTTTTTTTTGATGTATGTACTGATAAAGTGTTCATTAAGTGTGTGCACTAGAGAAAAGTAGTGTGAGAAAATAAAATTATCCGATTTTAACCCAATAAATTCCTTTAATTTCTTTTTTGTGATAATGTTTAGATAAAAAAAAAAAAAACTATATGTAACATAGATTACAAATGCATAACTTTATTTTTGAATTATAAATTATTATAACTCAATCAAAAAAATTATTTAATATTTATTATAAAAACATATAACATAACACTATAAAAATATATAATATGGTTGCATATACCATAAAAATTCCTTTAATGCCTGCCATACGAATGGAACGGAGACACTTGAAAGGTAGGAAGTGAATTGGGAAAACTACAAATAGGTGAGATAGTCACAAATTAATTATGCCTCCGTTTGGGAAGTGAGTTGGCTTTTTGGTTTTTTGGCTTTTTTACTATTTTAGCCTGAGCTAAAAAGCTTGGTTTGGGAAGGACTTTTTGGCTTTTTGATTTTTTTGACTTTTTTTTGTGAGAGAAGAGTGTAATATTTTCTCATTGTTCACTGAAAACATGAAAATGCAATTATTTTCTCATTATTTCGTTTAAATGCAATTTTGCAAGTAAATTTATTAAAAAAAGAAGTAAATTTACAAATGGTTGAACTTCTCTTATGTTGAGAGTTTAAATATGAATTTGAGAATTTGAAGGGCTTTTGGGATCCACTATTGATTATATTTTGAAAATTTAGACTGTTTATTTTATAATTTTTTTATATTTATTATTTATGAAAAAAATTAAATTAATTTGATAATCCTAAGATTTTTATTTTATTGTAAAATGATACAACTTAAAAGATCATTTTTTTGAATATAAAATCCTCAACCATATACTGTATATTGTTGACAATTTTTTTTATTTATTATTTATCCTCAACCATATACCGTATATTGTTGACAAATTTTTTTTTTATTATTTAAACAAATTCATTTTCCAATACCTACATGATTATTTAAACAAATTTTTTTATTTATTATTTAAACAGATTCAACCATATACCGTATATTATTTAAACAAATTCATATACCGTACAACTTAAAAGATCAGTTTTGTAACTGTCAAAATATTACATGATATTTTTTCATCAATTATTATTTATTATTTTTATATTATTTAACATAAATAATTAATATTTTACATTAGTGAATTTTACATTATTCACTAATCATATTCGCGTGACTACCTGTCACTGTAAGTTGATTTCTGGTATTAATTTTTTTTTTTTGTGATTTTCTTTTCCAAATATAGAAAATTTTAAAATATACTCACACCTTCACTATTGTTTCTCCCTCCCTCACTCCAGTGGTTGTCTCTCTCTCTCTCTCTCTTTCTCTCTCTCTCTATTGCATGATCGACGGCCGGCGGATATCTCAAACTTGCTTCCAGCGAATGGTCGGCTGAGGTAGTTTGGTGCAATTTTTGTTTCCGTACAGAACATTTGGTCCATTTCGATGTTACTCTGCATTTCTATTTCATTTACATATGTGTATTTGTGTGTGTATATTATATATGCACCGAACAAAAGCATACATTTTGGTGCTCTTCTGAGTTGTAGATAAATTTCCCCCCAATCTTTCAAGATTATGGGTCGATCTGCTTGCTGTGTTTAGATTGAAATATGACAACTCTTTTCAAACTATTTTGTTTATTTGTTGTGTTTCTCCACTTGGGTTTCCTCCTTTTATTTTTTCTGTTTTCAAGATCTTGGTTTTATTTTCTTCTTATTACTATTATTATTGTTGGGTATGTTTGGTCTAAATCCATCTATATATACATACTAGAGGTGGGCACACACTACATGTGTGTAATTTGTAATGTTATCTAATAATTTTTTGCAATTTTTTGAAATTATTAGTGTAGATAGATAGAGATATTAGTATAGATAGATAGACAACTCAAGCCTTTGCTTTATATATTAGTATAGATAGTACGTAGCCTATCTTTGCAAGTTAATATTACATTAAACTTTGTCCTTATCTTTTTAAATCAGTTTCGAGACTTCATGACATGGTTGAAGAGGTTAAGGGGGTTTAAGGAGAAAAACAATTCAGTTGAGACAGTAAGGTAGAGCAATTTTAGATGTTCGGGATATTTTGATGCAATGACATCTGATATGCGGCTAGGTATGGCACAAAGTTTTAGAACAAGCAGGTCTTCATTCACCTCGAATGGATATGAATCTCCTTCACTCAACCCTGCTAGTGTCTCGAATGGGGACCAATATGACAGCGATGGTTCCAATTTTGCTCCACAGTAAGTTTCTTTCATTCCTCTTGTATTATGTTGAGATTGTCAGCTCTTGAACTTAATCACCGGCACTTGTTGTTACTGAAGCTAGCTTGTTAGATTCTATACTTTCACAAGGTTTTGCAGCTTGTATAGCGATTTGTAGACCCTAAGATTAAAGATAATTTCTATTTAATGTATCTTGCAGTACACCATCGACCCTGTCAATGGCTGTTCCGCCAGAACTTGTTGGTGCTATACCCTTGATTGATAAATTCCAGGTAACAAGATATGCTAATGCTCTTAATTGTAATATTCATAGAGAAAATTTCTTCTCTGTTCAATTTGGTTAGTTGATTTCAGAATTACTTGAGTGCTTGTCCAACTTTTGTTTTCTTGCTTTTGGTGAATGATCAGTCAAAATTTCACCATATCATTTTCCATTGTTTTCTCTAGGTGGAGGGGTTTCTTAGGGCAATGCAAAAACAAATTCAATCAGCTGGAAAACGTGGTTTTTTTTCTAAAAGATCCGCGGGCACCGAAGTGCGGGAGAAATTCACATTTGAGGATATGATGTGTTTCCAAAAGGTAATAACATATTAAGCTTGATGATGACGATTTGTTTTGTTGTTGATTTTATCAATTGGCGATTTATGTTTCAACTTTTGACAGGATCCTATCCCAACTTCAATCCTAAAGATAAACGGTGATCTAGTTAATCGGGCAGTAAAGCTGTTCCAGATTGTTTTGAAGTACATGGGTGTTGATTTGTCTGATCGAGTGACTCCAACAAGGTTAGAGGAACGCATTGAGCTTATTGGGAAACTATATAAGGATACTTTGAAGCGTTCTGAGCTTCGAGACGAACTTTTTGCACAAATTTCAAAGCAGACAAGGAATAATCCTGATAGGTATGCATTTATACTGTTTTGTAAATTGCCAGTGCTAGAACTGCTCTAGTCCTTTCCTTGATGCATTCTTTATTGTTCAGCTATTTTCATAAGTTTTACTTGTTGCTTTTGAAATACAGGCAATATTTAATTAGAGCATGGGAGTTAATGTATTTATGTGCATCCTGCATGCCTCCTAGCAAGGATATTGGTGGGTATTTATCAGAATATGTTCGTAATCTGGCACACAGTGTGAATACTGATCCAGATATTCAAGTCCTTGCATTGAACACATTAAATGCATTGAAGCATTCTGTTAAGGCTGGACCTAGGCTTACCATACCTGGCCATGAGGAGATTGAAGCTCTTTTGACTGGTAAAAAACTGACGACTATAGTGTTTTTCCTGGATGAAACTTTTGAAGAAATTACATATGGCATGGCGACAACTGTAGCTGATGCCGTTGAGGTACTGTCAAACTTTCCTTTTCTTTTCTTTCCTTAAGCTCCATCAACATGAACATTCTAGAATTAATTTAAAAAAATATTTCATTCATCGGAGTTGTGTGGAAATTAACATGATGACTTGACAACCATTCATGAGTGATTTCAGAATCCTCAATGTTTCACAAGCTTGATATGCAACATTCACCGGATTGAAGAATAAAATAAAAAATATACATCGCAATTGGTCCAAATTGCTAGAAGAATTATTGTTATTGTCTGAAAATTTCTTCCCATGGCCTTTGGAAAATTGAGAGGTTTTTAGCTATTTTGTTGTCTGTTCATTTCAAGGAAAGGCATTTTCTTATTTTTCCATGGGAAAAATGGATTCCAAGCCAGATTTGTCTAATGGTTTTGTTTGGAAGAAAGTCATACTTCAATTTTCTTTTCAGGATTATTGTACAGGAAATAAACTCAATTCATGATAGCTAGATATTATGAGTGCATTATAGTTCAGGTTGAAATTCACAGGCAAGGAGAAAATACTACATTAGGTCTGAAATAGCTTTGGGATTCTTGGCTTGCAAAGTTCTTACAAACCAACTTTGTCAGCGTGGGAAAGTGATTTTGGAATACTCCTTCAATCCAAACAAGCCCTTGAAAGATCTTTCCAACTGTCACTTGAAACAGAAGAAAAACTCCAGTTGGTAGTGCCGGAATTAGCATTCCGACGAGCAAGTTAGTTTCTATCGAAAGATTAGTTTTTGGTTTCTTAGGGTGCAAGTTTTTTAGAACATACCTCTCTCTTTAACATCCTTCTCCTTTTATAGAGTCAATTGTCCTTCATCTTTTTTCCTATAGCTTAGGCCCTCATCATCACTTTGTCATGGCCCATTTCCCTACTATATTCTTTAGAAAGGGACAGCCTGGATCTGCCTAACGGGGTCGTGCCGACTTGTTTGATGTACTCAGCTCAAACATGCGGCCCAGGTACCCTTAACTCGGCACTCTCTCCATTCTGTTTTTTGTATATATTCGGCAATAATTTTGAGTCCAGTGGGCTTTAACCTCGTTTGGCCCATCAAAGATGGGCTTGGATGTATTCTATTTGCCGTTTTAGGTTTATTTTTATTCAGCTCTCACAATTGTCCCCCAAGCATCTGACTGTCCTTGAACTCCGAGTAATCAGTGTGCTTGGCCACCGAAGGGCCGTTGTAGTCGGTGTTGTTTGACACTTGAGGCACCTCGAAATTTGGGTTCGTAATGGACACGGCATTCTGTCTCTGACACGTCAGATGGGATTTTTTGCTAAAATGACTGGTGAATATTCATATGCTTGCTCTTTTGCTGCAACCTCCCTCTCTGATGCATATGCATTTGGTCAGTATATGCATGCATACACTGGGAAGCTAGTTGTTACAGATTTTTCCTGCTACTCATTCAAAACTTGATTTTATGATGGCCACTTAGTTATTTCCTTTCAAGAATTCTCTTTACGTTTTTTTTAATTACTTTTATCACGTGCTTTATATATATATATATATATTTTATTAGTACATGCTTTTGTAATTTTGAGGCCTCCTTGGTTGCTAGGTTTGTTGCGTGCTAGTCCATTCTACTCTGTATATGCTGGTTACCCTTATTTTCTAAATTTGTAAAATCATTTGAAATTTCTAAACCACATGTGCTTGGCAATGTACCATTGTGGATTTACTTTTGGAAGTTGCAGTGGATGCAAATGGTGGATAAATTCTCTTCTCTTGTTAGCTTCTGTATTATTTGGTTCTTCATTAATTTCTTTTTGTGATTTATTAGTAATTTAGTATTGTTTAACAGAATATCCACTTCAGGAGCTTGCAGGGATTATTAAATTGACAGAGTATTCTAGCTTCAGTCTGTTTGGGTGCCGGAGGGTTGTTCCCGGTTCTAAATCTCCTGATCCTGGAAATGGTATTTACATTTTCCTTTGTTCATAATTTGAATTTATTTTTTGGAATGGTCATTTTAATTACATGCACTTTGATGTCATACAGAGGAGTATATTGGGTTGGATGATAACAAATACATTGGGGATCTTCTAGCTGAATTCAAGGCAGCAAAGGACCGAAGTAAAGGAGAAATCTTACACTGCAAATTGACTTTTAAAAAAAAGTTGTTTCGCGAGTCTGATGATGCTATAGGAGATCCAATGTTTGTTCAGTTATCTTATGTTCAAGTATGTAATCTTGCTTCAATTTAGTTTTTAGTTAACTGCTAGTAGATATTCATCAGTTCTTTTTGAAGTTTAAATTATTTCTGAAATCTAAATCTAATGATTTCTGGTTGTATTGTGACAGTTGCAACATGATTATATACTAGGCAATTATCCTGTTGGAAGGGATGATGCTGCACAGCTGTCTGCACTGCAAATTTTGGTTGAAATTGGATCGGTTGACAGCCCTGAATCATGCATGTCAGTATTTTTTTTTACTTATTATTTATTGCAGTAAGGTTCTTGTTGCATTCAGCTGTAAAGTTCGTTTTTGTATCATTACTTTCTTGTAGTGTTTTCCCTCTCATTTTCCTGTCTTTGATGCTTTTTGTTGTAGTCATAATACTGAGTTGAGTTAAGCTTGTTTCTGATTGGCATTAAAAATTTACTTGTAAAAGTTTCTCTTAAGTATTAAAATTTTTCAGTGACTGGACATCACTTCTTGAGCATTTTCTACCAAGACAAATTGCAATAACTCGAGCAAAGCGGGAATGGGAATTGGATATTCTTTTTCGGTTTCGTTCAATGGTAAGAACTAGTATTTGTGGGCAACCAAGTCTTTTAAAAGGAGAGAGAAACAAACAGAAGTCTTTTAAAAGAATTTTGTATTTCTAAAAATACTTATGTTACTTGTGAAGGAAAATCTAACGAAGGATGATGCAAGACAGCAATTTTTGCGGATCTTGAGAACGCTTCCTTACGGGAATTCTGTTTTCTTCAGTGTTCGCAAGATTGATGATCCCATTGGACTTCTCCCTGGGAGGATTATTTTGGGCATTAATAAACATGGGGTGAGTCTTAAGCTATTTTTTACTGGTACAGATACAATCATTGTAGATTGTTGACTTTTGGACCCAAGTATAAAAAAACAATGCCCAATTAATGTGTGTTCTGGACCCAAGTATGATAATAATTTTTCTACAGGTTCATTTCTTCCGTCCAGTTCCAAAAGAATATCTACATTCTGCTGAGTTACGAGATATCATGCAATTCGGTAGCAGTAATACTGCTGTATTTTTTAAAATGAGAGTTGCTGGTGTCTTGCACATCTTTCAATTTGAAACTAAGCAGGTTTTCAACAGTTCTCATCATTTTTGATAATGCCAGTACTTCACATTTACAGCTCTGGTTTTTTTCTGATATAATTTTTTTTAATTACTTGTTACGTTATGTAATATAATTTATCCATTTATGCAGGGAGAGGAAATCTGTGTTGCTCTTCAAACACATATAAATGATGTCATGTTACGCCGCTACTCTAAAGCAAGGTACGTTGCTAGTGGGTCAATAAATGGAGATTTGTCTAATAACTTTAGGCCACCCAGTGTGGATGTTCATGAGGAACGCATCCAGCATTTGTCCAAAGCCCTTGAAGAATCACAAAAGAATGCTAATCAAGTGAGTAATTTAATTTTGAAGTTTGCCTCTTATTTTATTTTATTTGTTTATTTTTAATATGCTAACTAAAATCAAAATGTCAACAATATAATTAATAATGTGATGTTCAAATAACTGTGGAGTGAATAAATTCTCCCTCCAATTTTAAAAACAGTACTTTCTTGTAATTATGTGATCAATAAATTTGGTTTTGTTTAGAGCATTAGATTTAGGATTATTTGTTTTTACTGATCCATCAGATCTACAGTTGGTCGTTTTGTTGGATGGACATTATTCTAGGTGCGGTAATCAGATTTTTAATACTTATAGTTGGCGCATCATATGCTACGAAAAAGAGTTATTTACTGTTTGAATCTCTCTCACAAAACTTGCATTGGACTTAAATAATCTTGGTATGCTTGTGCAGTTATTGGAAGAACTACATGAAAAACAAAAACAAGAAGCAGGACTGCAAGAAGAACTGGAGCGCTTTAAAGATTTTTTGAGATCTGAGAAGCAAAACGTAGAGGAAGTTACTTGTGACCGTGACAAACTCAGATCTTTGTGTGATCAAAAAGATTTGGCACTTCAGGTGACTGGTTATGTTTGTGAAATTAGTTTTCTGATACTCTCTCATTTCCTTAACCAAATGGTGGTTTTGGTACTTATTAGGCTGCATTGTTGGAGAAACGGAGCATGGAAGCAAGATTGGTGAAGCTTAGTAATCCAGGATTCGAGAGTAATGCCAAAAAGGAGATAATTGAAGCAAATAACCAGGTACTTGTTTAGAATGTATATATTTTTACTGTCAACTCAAATGTCTGTAAATTTTCTTCTTTTTAGATAATGGATTGAGAGTTTATTGAAAAGGATCAACATTATGTAAATACAAAAGGGGCAAACGCTTACCCGTGCTTGTCAAAAAGCAAAAGTTCTACAAAACAGTACCTGGAGTAAACCTAAGAATATATGTTTTCATCCCTATTACACTGCTATAATAATTTCTATCTCAAAATCAACCCATTCACTAGCACTCTGACATTCCTTGAGCTCTGTCATGAGTTGTAATTTGCTTGAGACTTGCACACCACAAGGCCCCACTTGTTTTCTTTGCAACTTCTTCCAAATTCCTTTCTGTTTCAAATGTCCGGTTTGTTAATTTTAGGTCAATAAATGCATTTTTTAAACAATTTTAATGGCAATTGTCTTGGTTAAATTGTGTTCAGAAGTTGTCTCATGGTTATAATTATTAATTATTGCTTGATTTATGATTGTTTTAAGTAATTTAGAATATTGATGAATTTTACATATAGGTGCTACAAAAGATCCAAGATGAATTAAGAGTTTGCAGTGCAGAGTTGCATGTATCAGAAGAAACTACAAAAAGAATGGTAAATGAAAAATTATTGTTGGAAGAGAGATTTTTAAGGCTTGAAAAGAAGAAAGCTGAGGAGGTAAATAAGACACAGATGTTTTCTGAAAGAAACCTATGTTAGTTTTTGTTTGGTCATTTCATTGATCTCTTGTGGCCCTTAAATACAGATGGAAATTCTTGAGAAAAACTTTGAACAAGAACGCAAGGCCATGAAGCTTCAAGTTTCTGAACTTGAAAGGAAGCTGGAAGAGGTTACGCAAGGTTTGACTGTGACAGAGTCGCGTCTTGCGATCAAAGATAAAGAGTTTTCCACTTTTCAAAATAATTTGAAGGAACTTGAGGAACTAAGAGAAATGAAAGAGGTGATGATGTTAATCTTATGCTAAATTATTCAATATTTTGCTAATGTATGGGAAAATATGATATAGGCATCATTACTGTATTGGTATTGGTCTATGGGTAAATATTTAATTTTATGACAGCTCTAACAAAATGGTTCTTGCTTTCAGGACATTGATAGAAAGAATGAGCAAGCTGCGGCGCTCTTAAAGATGCAAGGTGCCCAATTGGCTGAGTTAGAAGCACTTTACAAGGAAGAACAAGTTTTGAGGAAACGATATTTTAATACAATAGAAGGTAATATTCCCCCATGTTTTCCTGCTTGTATCATTGAAATTCTATTGTTAGATTTTAGTTTCCCACCCCTCTCCCCCATATCATGGAACTTCTATTTTATATTTTATTTGCCTATAAGATTCATATTCTTATTCAATGCACCAATACATCATTAAACTTTTTTCTGTGCATCTCAGATATGAAAGGCAAGATTAGAGTCTTCTGTCGATTAAGGCCTCTCAGTGAAAAAGAGATTGTTGGAAAAGAAAGAAATGTGCTTACAAGTTTAGATGAGTTCACTGTTGAACATCAATGGAAAGATGATATAAAGCAGCATCTATACGATCATGTTTTTGATGGCATTGCCGCACAAGAAGATGTATTTGAGGATACAAGGGCAAGTTCAATTAATTTTTATTGATGCGTTGATGCCGAGTATTTATACCTGCTATTTAGCGCTTTCATATGCTCAGCTCATATTTTTCTTCATATAATCAATTTGTAATTTTTTTTTTTGGAATTAATTGATGCAGTATTTGGTGCAATCTGCCGTAGATGGATATAATGTGTGCATATTTGCATATGGCCAAACTGGTTCTGGAAAGACATTTACAATTTATGGCTCTGAGGATAATCCAGGGCTTACACCACGTGCTACATTTGAACTTTTTAAAATTCTGAATCGCGATTGTAACAAATTCTCATTTTGCCTGAAGGTAACAGCTGTGAATCTATAGAAATCTACCTCAGTAGTTCAAAATTATCAAACATGCTGGTTCAATGAACTCAATATGACATTTTAAAATATCGATGCATCTTCTGCTAGCCATTCTGTATGTAATCTGAATGGTATGTAGACAAACATGGTGTTCTATTTGTTATATTACCAGTAAAAGCAAATTTGCTTTGTATGGTATTCCAGTTAAAGGCAGATGATGCATGAAGGTTTATTTATTTAGGTTTCCAACTGAACTGCACTTTGTAATGCTTTACGCATCAATTATGAACATATGCAGGTATATATGGTAGAATTATATCAAGATACATTGGTCGATCTTTTGCTACCGAAGTTTGCAAGGAGATTAAAACTAGATATCAAAAAGGATTCAAAGGTTACTATACTAATTTGTCAATTGGTGATTGTCTTGTTAGATATTTTGTTTAATCTCATTTGCTTGCCTTATTTAAATTTGGAATGTGTTCCACTTTTATAAACTCTTCCCTTCATTAGCTATATTGGAACGTGTAGGGCATGGTATTTATAGAAAATGTGACGGTTGAATCCATTACAACAGTTGAAGAATTGAACCTCATCATTCAGAGAGGATCTGAACGTCGTCATACAACTGAGACTTCGATGAATGAACAGAGTTCAAGATCCCATCTAATACTTTCCATTGTTGTTGAGAGTACCAACCTTCAAACTCAATCCATTGCTAGAGGAAAGGTATCATTATTGTTCACACTATCTTATAATCATTGAATTGAGATATGTGCTAGTTTAATTGGAGAACAGGTGCATGGACATATATTCAATATTTTCTCTTCTTTCATGAGTTTAAAAAGTATGTTATGACGTGGGTTGAAATAATCGTTGTGCTTGTTTGTTTGACCATTCTTATTGTGCAGCTTAGTTTTGTGGACCTTGCTGGTTCTGAGAGAGTGAAAAAATCAGGTTCTTCCGGTAGTCAACTCAAGGAAGCTCAAAGTATCAATAAGTCACTTTCTGCACTTGGGGATGTTATCAGTGCTTTATCGACTGGCAATCAACACATACCTTATAGGAATCACAAGTTGACAATGTTAATGAGTGATTCACTTGGTGGTAATGCTAAAACATTGATGTTTGTGAACATATCTCCAGCAGAGTCAAACTTGGACGAGACTTACAATTCACTGACGTAAGTTATTATATCTTTGTCATCTGTGATTATAGTCATTGTACTCAATGTTTGAAAACCCGGACCAGACCGGCTGATCACTGGTGACCGGACCTAGTTTTGGTCTGGATGACCCTCCAAACCCGGACTATGTTCAAAACCGGCTTAGAATTTGAAAATCGGAGAACTGCCGGTTCAACTGGAATAACCGGCGAATCACAAGTTGACAATGTTAATGAGTGATTCACTTGGTGGTAATGCTAAAACATTGATGTTTGTGAACATATCTCCAGCAGAGTCAAACTTGGACGAGACTTACAATTCATTGACGTAAGTTATTATATCTTTGTCATCTGTGATTATGGTCATTGTACTCAATGTTTGAAAGCCCGGACCAGACCGGCTGATCACTGGTGACCGGACCTAGTTTTGGTCAGGATGACCCTCCAAACCCGGACTATGTTCAAAACCGGCTTAAAATTTGAAAACCGGAGAACTGCCGGCTCAACTGGAATAACTGGCGAACCGGTCATTTAAATAGTGTTGCGATTACAATTATATTATAACCCTAATATTATTTACACCGTGCCTTCAGGCACGAACATACGCTAATATATATATATAAGTAAGGATGACACAGTGACGTGGCAAGGACGAACTTCAAAACTCAATCTCATCCCGAATTAAAATGAGAGGTAGTATGACATTTTGTTAAAAAGAAAAATTATATTTTAGTGGATCAGTGGCAAAAAATAAGAAATATATATATATATATTTTATAATTGTTTATTATTTATTATTTTTGTAATTTTAGTATCTATATTTTTTATATTTATAGATTTTTATATATTTATGACATAATTATAACATTATGGTTCAATTCTGGTTCACCCGCGGTTGAACTAGTAACTCGTCCGCTAGGGATGGCAATTTGAACCGGGCCCCCGACGGGGACCCGATCCCCCGACCCTAATTAGTACAATTTTTTTCCAAAAAATACCCCCGACGGGCCGGAGATGGTATTAAAAAAATAATCCTCGATAAGTTTCGGGCCTGGGACGGTGATAAGTTTTTCCGCCCCGTCCCCATCCCGTTTCAGGCCCGCTTCTATCTCCTCTCTGTCTCACTCACCTACCCACTATATATCTCTCTTTCTCTTATCTTACTCAGATCTAAGAATCACAAAACCCACCTCCTTTCTCTCACCTCGTCTCAGATCTCTCTCTCTCTCTCTCACACACACACACACACACACATCTCAGTATCCTTCCTCCTCCTCTCTCTGCTTCTCGTCTCTCCGCCGCCATGGCCGCACTCTGCTGCTTCATACTGACGGCGCAACCAGAGTCTCCATCTTCACTGATCGAGACCTCTCTTCTCTCTGTCATTGATCGAGACTTCTCTTCTCTCTGTCACAATCTCTCCGCCTCTTTAACTCCATCACCGATCGAGACCTTTCTTCTCTCTCCCTTTGTTTGTGTGTGTGTGTGATGATGATGACTACGACGACTCAGATATGCAGATGTGTGTGCGTGTGTGTGAGATGATGACGACTACTCAAATCTGCAGGTGTGTGTGTGTGTGTCTCTATGTGTGTATGTCTCTCCGTCGGGGATTTTTCGGGGTTGGAAAAACCCGATCCCCGTTTGGGGCCGGGGGCAGGGGGGGTGATGGGTTCCCCGCCGGGGACGGGGATGGGGACGGAGAATTTCATACTGTTGGGTATCGGGGACGGAGAGGGCAATCCCCGGCCCCACCTCGGTCATTCGTCATTCCTACCGTCCGCCCGGTCACTTTTCCAGTTCGCTCACTGGTCCGGCTATCAAAACATTACTTAAACTCGCTAATTTCTTACTAGCATGCTACACACTAAATTACCAAAACCACTCACAATGGAGTGTGGGCCCCACACTCACATGGGTGTGGGACCTGCATCCCATTGTGAATGATAACCTGGTGTGTAATCCATTCGGAGTCACAATTCTGCAAGTCATAAAATCACAAGATCAGTCTCTTAATATAGTTAATTATTCTCTTCATGTGGTTTTGATGGATCTTTATAAACTTGCCAATGCATCTAGACCCTCTAGCTTCAATATACCTAGTTTTAACCATATCATTCTCTGTTAGTATCAATTTAACTAGTGGCATTTGGAATTTATCTTGGCACTTCATTCAGTTATGTGCTCTCATCTCATCTACCATTGATTTTTGAAAGAGAGGCTATTTTGTGGAATTGTCTTGATCGTGTTAGTGTTAATGCAATTCAGTTATGCATCAAGAGTCCGGTCAATTGTAAATGATCCAAGCAAAAATGTTTCATCAAAGGAAGCGGCTCGTTTGAAGAAGTTGGTTGCATATTGGAAGGAGCAGGCAGGTAAGAAGGGGGATGTTGAAGATTTAGAAGAGATCCGAGAGGAACTGTCAACCAGAGATAAAGCAGATGGTCATCATTCCATGTAAAGTACACACACACACACACACACACATCTCAGTACCCTTCCTCCTCCTCTCTCTGCTTCTCATCTCTCCGCCGCCATGGCCGCACTCTGCCGCTTCATACTGACGGCGCAACCAGAGTCTCCATCTTCACTGATCGAGACCTCTCTTCTCTCAGTCACTGATCGAGACTTCTCTTCTCTCTGTCCTAATCTCTCCGCCTCTTTAACTCCATCACCGATCGAGACCTTTCTTCTCTCTCCCTTTGTTTTTGTGTGTGTGTGATGATGATGACTACGACGACTCAGATATGCAGATGTGTGTGCGTGTGTGTGAGATGATGACGACTACTCAAATCTGCAGATGTGTGTGTGTGTGTCTCTGTGTGTGTATGTCTCTCCGTCGGAGATTTTTCGGGGTTGGAAAAACCCGATCCCCGTTCGGGGCTGGGGGCAGGGGGGGTGATGGGTTCCCCGCCGGGGACGGGGACGGGGATGGAGAATTTCATACTGTTGGGTATCGGGGACGGAGAGGGCAATCCCCGGCCCCACCTCGGTCCTTCGTCATTCCTACCGTCCGCCTGGTCACTTTTCCAGTTCGCTCACCGGTCCGGCTATCAAAACATTACTTAAACTCGCTAATTTGTTACTAGCATGCTACACACTAAATTACCAAAACCACTCACAATGGAGTGTGGGCCCCACACTCACATGGGTGTGGGACCTGCATCCCATTGTGAATGATAACCTGGTGTGTAATCCATTCGGAGTCACAATTCTGCAAGTCATAAAATCACAAGATCAGTCTCTTAATATAGTTAATTATTCTCTTCATGTGGTTTTGATGGATCTTTATAAACTTGCCAATGCATCTAGACCCTCTAGCTTCAATATACCTAGTTTTAACCATATCATTCTCTGTTAGTATCAATTTAACTAGTGGCATTTGGAATTTATCTTGGCACTTCATTCAGTTATGTGCTCTCATCTCATCTACCATTGATTTTTGAAAGAGAGGCTATTTTGTGGAATTGTCTTGATCGTGTTAGTGTTAATGCAATTCAGTTATGCATCAAGAGTCCGGTCAATTGTAAATGATCCAAGCAAAAATGTTTCATCAAAGGAAGCGGCTCGTTTGAAGAAGTTGGTTGCATATTGGAAGGAGCAGGCAGGTAAGAAGGGGGATGTTGAAGATTTAGAAGAGATCCGAGAGGAACTGTCAACCAGAGATAAAGCAGATGGTCATCATTCCATGTAAAGTATGTATTTTTTCTTTTTGGTAAAGATTTGTTGAAGTTGAGAAGTCTTGCTGGTTTCTAATCTGGGTGGATGGCTGTGGCGACATTCACCACATTGCATATAATGTATCATATCAACTACTGGTTAAATTACTTTGAGGGCTATATGAGGGTTAGAGAATGTCTAACATTAGTGTTGTATATATTTAATTTATTTTGTATCTTACCTTTTATTAGTGCATCCATGTTCATGAATGAATTGATTTTTATGTGTGTGCATATGTATATATATATTACATTTTTTTGTTTGTTCTATATGAACTTCGAAATGCACAGATGTAATTTCTTTTGGCAATCATAGAGGTCAATCAATTCTATTTCCCGGTGAGCTTTAATTCTTGTTTGTTTAGTTATTGTTACATCATCTACAAATGTTTTTCTTATGTCTACAGAAATGCCATGTTCTTTTTAAAATTGGGGTCAAATTAAGGTGTAAAGTAGTTATCTCTTTCATTTGAATTTTGTCATTTTTACTTTTGTGGGCAACAAAAATCTTTACATTAAGATTGAGAGACCAACCGGTACTATTTAGTCATTTGATTGAGATCTAGTTGAAGTTTAACATTTTTGCAGCTCAAGTTCATTTATGGTGTTGCTCGAGCTTATTGTTTGACCCTTAGCGTTATGGTAGTTGGAAGTTTTGTCGAGATGATCTGGTCGTTGATTGCTCAATCAACTTGGCTATATACCTATCCTTTTGACTTGTGTTTTCTTTATCTATGTTTTTGCCTTATGCTTTGATGTTATTATGTTCTTTTTCCAATTTTCTTCAATGTTCGTACTTTATTTTTCTTATTAGAAAGTTTTATCTCGGACATAAACGACGACAAGTAGAGAGAGCAATTCATGGTATTATTATTGTAGTAGGTGTTATTAATATCATTAAGAATTTGATTTCGCTCCATTGTATTGGACAATCATAGCCTCCGTTTGGGAAGCGGGTTGGATTTTTAATTTTTTGATTTTTTTGGTTATTTTAGCCTGGATTAAAAAGCTTGGTTTAGGAAAGGTTTTTTGATTTTTTGATTTTTTTGATTTTTTTTGTGAGAGAAGAGTGCAATGATTATGGGTTGGGTGTTATATTTTGTTTGTTGTGACTAAAATAATCTATTTTGTTTTTTGTGACTAAAATAGTCAAAAAAAGCTCTTGCCAAACGGAACCCTCAGTTTTTTGGATTGGACAGTTAAGTCCACTTAAACTTTTAGTTAAATTTTTTATTTTTATTTTTATTTTTGTCTTAAGCCATTTCTCCATTTTATTGGGCACTTGGGTTAGAGATCCATTTCTAAAATTCTGGCCAATAATAAGCCCAAGCTTAAATCTTTTTGTGCCCGAAGGATATTATTTGTTTAAAAGAATACTTATTTGTTCAAAGTTTATTTATTTGTCTATTTATTTAAATGTCACGCTATCTGTACTCGTGCCATTTATTTATGTAACTATTTGTTCAAATATCCAACTATCTATTCAAATGTTTCATTATTTATACATGTGTTACCTATTTGTATAATTATTTGTTTAAATGTCCAACTATCTATTCAAAGGCTCCACTATCTATACATAGAGGTGGGCATGGTTCGGATTGGGAGAAAACTAGGACCAATCCGTTATCTACGATTCTTGAAAAATTAAAATCAATCCAATCCGTTTAAATTGTATAACCAATCCGAACCAATCTGTTTAAACACGAATTGGATCGGTTTAGGACTACGGAGGACTACGGATTCACATAATTAAATAATAAAAAAAAATATAGAACATTTAAAGCAAACAATATCCTTTGTGTGGATCTATTTGTGTGTTACTATTAAGTAATAACTGAACCACTATTCTGACGTTAGGAATTGATAAGATCATGCATAGTTCTTTGGTGATGTATTTGTTTTCTACCAAATTAGCTAATATTACTGATAAATCAGTTTGCTACCGAATAAGCTAGATAGCTCATCAATGGATGGTTTTCGTGTGATGAATGTTTTTGTCAATATAAAATACCTATATAAATAGTATATGGTTAACTTATTGCAATATATTTATATTTATTTTTCTCGGATTATTTTAGGAATGCGCCTAACTTTCAATCTTTATGGATGCACCTGAATTGGTAACATGCAAACTAAGTCTTTTACCTTTTGTCTTACTTCCGCAACACAATGAATAACACTATATCAGAAATCAAAGAAAAAACATACATTGTATATGCTATAAATATAGATTATTTCTAGACAGTCTGGATCGGTTCAAATCCAAAACCGTGGGATTCAATCCAGAACCGATCCGTGGCCTACGAATTTTGAAATTTCTAATTCGGAACCAAACCACGGATTTAAAAAACCAATCCAAACCTATCGGATTAGACTGGACTGGATCGAATTACGAATTTTATGGATTTATTGCTCAGCCCTATCTATACACGTCATATCTATTCAATATCAAATGTCCACCTCACTGCCGGTTGCGGCGATTTTTCAGCCAATTTTTCAAACGATGATGACATTTCAACATGTGTCATTCTCACCAAACAAGATTAATCTTTAAATCTAATGTCTAACGCACCTCTCAACTTGAATTTACTAGTAATTTTTTCTTTTTTCTTTTTATTTATTTTTATTTTTTTGAGCAATTATCAACATATAGTGTTTGAAATTTGTACTCATTTCAAAACTAAAGCTTGAATTTGCGGTGGATCTGGGCATAAAGATTGCAGGTTTGTAGGGATGGATAAACAGCTAAGCATCTATAAAACAAATAAGTATTCTTCATGATCATAGCCTTCTCAACTTTTGAGAGTTAATTTTTTGGGGACATTGCAAGTGAGTTTAAAAAAAAAAAAAAAAAAATCAAATTGGTGGTAAATTTAATCAACTTTAATAATTAAAATTATAAATTTTTCCATGAATTTGTAAATATTTTGTGAAGATATCACTGATTTACAATTTTCTCGTAATATTTTTCGTTTTTTAGTTTGGCTTATTTTTGCTTTTAATAAACATTTTTCAAAATGAACTAAAATGACTTTATATTTAAGAATTATCTCTACTAAAGCATTTTACAAAATTTAAAAATTGAGTAAATTTTTTAAGAATTTCAAATGGGCAAAAATAAGTCAATTTTTTGTATTTAAAAATTAAAAAAAATCCCTAAAATCTGACTTTTTTTTTTGTTTTTAATAAAATTTTTTTCAAAATTTAAAAAATTTCTATCTAGACTAACGATTAAAATAAAGATTTAAACTCAAAAGTTGACTTTTTTTTTTAAAGAAAAGGTCCATAAAATAAGTTTGACTTTTTAATATTGACAATTGAAGTAAGGAAGAGATTGCAGGTTTGTAGGGATGGATAAACAGCTAAGCATCTATAAAACAAATAAGTATTCTTCATGATCATAGCCTTCTCAACTTTTGAGAGTTAATTTTTTGGGGACATTGCAAGTGAGTTTAAAAAAAAAAAAAAAAAAATCAAATTGGTGGTAAATTTAATCAACTTTAATAATTAAAATTATAAATTTTTCCATGAATTTGTAAATATTTTGTGAAGATATCACTGATTTACAATTTTCTCGTAATATTTTTCGTTTTTTAGTTTGGCTTATTTTTGCTTTTAATAAACATTTTTCAAAATGAACTAAAATGACTTTATATTTAAGAATTATCTCTACTAAAGCATTTTACAAAATTTAAAAATTGAGTAAATTTTTTAAGAATTTCAAATGGGCAAAAATAAGTCAATTTTTTGTATTTAAAAATTAAAAAAAAATCCCTAAAATCTGACTTTTTTTTTGTTTTTAATAAATTTCTTTTTCAAAATTTTAAAAAATTTCTATCTAGACTAACGTTTAAAATAAAGATTTAAACTCAAAAGTTGACTTTTTTTTTAAAGAAAAGGTCCATAAAATAAGTTTGACTTTTGATATTGACAATTGACGTAAGGAAGCCATTATTTATACTTTATTTCGTTTCAAATATATACATTTTTTACATTAATATCTTTAAACTAATTTTTTCAAAAAATATATTTTATGTGAAATAATATTGTTTCGTTTGAATTTATTGGATTAAGATTTTTGAAAATTGAGTTTTTTTATTTTCATATTTTTTTGTTTTTAATGAATATTTTTAAAATTTTAAATATTTTTTTTACTTTTTTAGATGCACTTTATTTAGATGTATCTAAAAAGTAAAAAATTTATAAAAAAATATTTTAAAAAATTAATAAATACATAAAAATATAAAAAATATATTGAATTCTCATATTTTTTTGTATTTTGGTATTTAGTGAATTTTTAAAAGGTTTTTTTCATAATTTTTTTATTTTTTAGGTATATTATGTTAGGTATGCCTAAAAAGTAAAAAAAAAATTATTTAAAATATTTAAAAAATTTAGTAAAAAAAAAAAAATACGAAAATAAGAAAGTAGAATTTTTTAAAAAGTATATTTAAAAAAAGAGAAACCAAGCAAAGTGAATATAATTGCATAATAAAAATAAACAAAAAAAAATATTTAAAATAAATTAGAATGGGAATAGCGCCTATTTCAACTAAGGGCAATGGTAGAGGGCCACAATTTTTGTGGCTCAAATGGCTCAAAACTGTCAAAACGATGTCGTTTTGAGCACAAAACATGCCAAAACGACATCGTTTTGACAGTTTTAAACCATTTAAATCACACAAATTGTTCCTCTCAAACATTATTCTTCAACTAATTCTCATGATTGACTAAAGAGGGATAAGCTCCCAAGGCAGAAACGTTCTCTGACAAGGATGCCTTTATGACTCCATTTGGTATCGATGGTACGTTAAGAAAACAAATATATGAAAATAAATGATCGTATAATATTCGGATAAGTAAGAACGTAAAAAATATGAGTGAATTCATCTTTTATATTTTGAGGGTCAATATTATAAATATTTTATAACTAATCAATTGAAATCTCACTAAATTTTATTATTTTTGATAAGAAATGAAATAGATTTAATAAAAGAGTTGTATTTCTTATTATTTTTCTTCATTTCACACTTAATTTATAAATTAAACATGAGAAAATAATTCTCCTTATTATTTGTAGATGTTTTGTTTTATATTAACATTAATCTGAACCAAGAAAAAAGGAGAAGAAAATGGAAAAAGTGAATATGGTTTTACAGTATTTTGACAGATTCAATTAAAATTTTTTTGGTACTTCGGAAAATAGACGTATTCAGACACGAGATTTATGCAGCGGCCTTGTAATGGTTCTACATGAATGAATCATTATGATAATCTAATATAATATAATTTTATTATGCACAAATTGATGATAATCTAATATAATCTAATTTTATTATGCACGAACTGTTTGAATAGTTTGACGTGCAATAGTAGTATAGTTTGAAATTCAAACATCATCTTAATTTTCTTAATTATAAAATGACTTACTCACTGACTTCTTCTTCATTTTTATAAATATAAAATTGGCTAGTCCATTTCATATTTGGTCATTCAACACAAGAATAGTACAATAATAGTAACCATAGTTGCATTACCATGTTGTATAGAAGTCCACCAATGGGTCCTTAATTTTAAATAAATTATGCCATTTCACTAGCAAAAAGCCTAGATTGATGGGTTGGGTTGCTAATTACTTGCTTCATACTGAGGGTTGGTTTATGAAATGACTTTTTTTTTTTTTTTGTATTTTTAAAAAAATTTTGATTAAAATATGAGGTGAAAAAAATTATAGTGTTTGAGAATAATAAAAAAAAAAAGAAGTGCAAGAAGTAGAAAGAATTGAATAAATCTTTGATTATTTTTAATATAATTTTTGAACTTGTTTAATTATTTTTTGACTAAAATCTATTGTTCCAAATGCACCCTGAAATATATAGCAAAATTCAGGCCCCCTTTATGCCAAGCCACTGGGATAGCGGTGTAAATTCCGCCGGGCCCGACCCACAATCAGGCTTCGCAGGCCTCCTTTTTGTTGTGTTTAGTTCAAAAATTTGAATAGAAATTTAAACATAATAATAATATATAAATAAAATATAATTATATTTTATTTACATTTCACACATTTTTCTTTTCATTTTTCAAATTCACAAACCATAAAGTGGAAAAAAATATTCACACGTGAATGTTTGAATTTTAAGACAATCTTTAATATTTTTCATAAACAAATCATTTTACAAATTTAAAATTTAAATAAAACCTAATTGGAAACACCTAGCTGCCTCCACTACCACCCAAAATATAGACAACAACAACAACTGCCTCCACTATCCTCCCTTCATAAATAAATAAAGGATAAAACTCTAAAATATACATTTTACATATTTGTATACATTATACTATATTTCTTTAAAATACATTTCAATCAAAATTTTATCCACAGCATCGGAGAGTCTTTTCAGTATTTTCCATAAACAAAACAGAGTAGATACATTACAGGAAATAAGAAAAAAAAGAAAAATTGAAAGGAAAAAAATTACAAAAGATACTAAACCAAATTAAAGTTGCTGTCTCGGCTGACATATTGTGAAGTCGATCCTGTACCGAAGTTGGACGTTGAAATAGAAAAGGAGGTTGTGTTCGTCATGGTGGTGGTGGCCTGGCTAATATCTTCCAATCCCATTGGCATCGACGGCCACACGAAAGCCGGCTTGAATGGCGGCACATGAGGCACTGCCACTGAACCTGATATGATCTGAACAATTGCCTGTGTTTGAGGCCTTTCACTGGCGATTGGATGCGAACATGCCAACCCTAAAAGCAACACTCTCTCAGCTTCCTCGACCACGTACTCCTCCCCTAGCCTCTTATCCACAGCATCCAATAACCGCCCTTCGCGGTGCAAATACCAGACCCAATCCACCAAGAATTGGAACCCACCAACCTTGGTTCCGGGCCTTAGCCCACAGACCACTTCCAACAAGACTGCACCAAATGCGTAGATGTCAGATTGCTGTGTTGCCTTCCCCATGTGGAAGCATTCGGGTGCAATGTAGCCCATCGTGCCTAGCACGCCCTCAGCTTCGGTGTACGAGGTCTTCTCAGTGTCAAGGGCGCGTGCAAGGCCGAAGTCACCAAGGCGGGCATTGAAGTTGGAGTCAAGCATGATGTTGCTGGCCTTGAGATCACGGTGGACCACCCTCTGATCGTATTCGTTATGGAGGTAGTGCAGGGCGGAGGCCGCCCCGGAGATGATGTTGTAACGCAGGTTCCAGCTCAGTGGCTTGCTATTAGAGTCACTGAAGAGGTGCATGTCAAGGCTACCGTTGGGCATGTAGTCGTATACTAATAGCAGCTTTCCATTCTTGTGACACCATCCTGTTGCATAAAAAAATATGTTATTGGACACACATGCTTTAATATCCCCATTCAATTCTTTTGTCTTTTGGACACAATTTATATAAGCCTTGAGTGAAGAAGACAAAGGCATTGAAGAATATCAGGAGTTGTTAGTGGTCCTATTACTGAATTATCAATAAATAAATGCAGAGAGAGTGTAGTTTCCATTATAAAAGAAAACTGATGTCATTGTCAAGAACATTAGTATGATTGAACTTCTAAATCTTTTAATTTGAAACATGAATTTTGAATTGCCATATTGTTTGTTCAACAAACAATTCAAGAGGTTTTGTCCAATGTGTGTGGAAGTTTCTTTCATGATGTGTGACACAGCTGTGGCAATGACAATATCTGCTTACAGGCATTGCATTGTAAGCCAGCAGCGGAAGCCAAGGAACTCACTCCGAAAAATCCTGACAAATGAAGATTGCGATGTTATTTGTCCTAGCTCTTACTTTTCTCATAGATGGCAAGTCAAATACGCAGCCAAGGAAAACAAGTTCTTCATTTGCGGGGCTTGGAGCCATCTGTCAAGTTAGGTGGGTCATGGGTTGTTGGCGGTTTAGGAAATTATGATAAGGAATTAGCTAGCCTCCAGGCTCTACAGACTAATGGTACAACTAGTCAATATACCATGAGTCCATCATTATATCTATCTATAGGTTGGGCCCTTCAACAAAACTTAAGCGAATTGAAAAGAGGAAAGCATTGACCTTCTGACCGTCTCCATTGCAACATCAGGGCATGCTCTCTTATTTGTTCAAATCTTTTTGCGGGAACGAAAGTCAACTCTTTTTGTGTACAAAGAAAATTCCTGTTCATATGGGTTGGTCCCGTCTCAAATTCTTGTTTAGCTTCCTGGTATAGCTTGCCAATTCTAAGGATATGGAATGCAACTTTTGAGCTGATAGGGTGATGATTATCCTGTAGGTCATATTGCTAGCTTCTAAAGGATAAAAATACTACTAGCAATATGTTTTTCTTCTTGCCAAAAAAAAAAAAAACTTATTAGGAAGTTCTAGTATTTGTTTGCTGATTATAGATTTGTTAAGATAATATGATTATAAGATTCTTTAACTGGTTATGAATATGGTTGGCTTCAAGTACCTGGTTTGAAGCACAAGCACTCCCACAAAGCAAAAGCTTAAGATGCATTCTGCTTGATAATAACATGGCAGAGTACCATAGCAGTCTTTACTCTCTGTGGTTTATATCTGTAACTATTTTTTGGTTTTAATACAGGCTATAACAATATTTTGGAAAACTCTCTCATATCCTATCATATCACATCACATTTTTTCTTGGAACAACAGTATAACCAAATTAGCAGTTCGCCTAAAAGCCACCAAAAAAATCTCAAAAAAATCTTCTTGCCAAAGGCTTCAATGGAGATCAATGGGCCAAAGATAGTTTTTTGACAATGTCAATCCAAAGACTAAGAACATTAATCATGAGGGAAAACATTTTCAAGACATCCCATTAATCAAACATAGAATCAAAAGCAGAAATGTTGTAAAGATGAATCAAATGAGTAAAAAATTCAAAAAATTGGGAAAAAGGACTTACCCAGCAATCGAACAAGGTGTTTATGACGAAGTCGATTGATGATCATAAGCTCGGCCAAAAAATCACCCTGATCCTTCAAATCCCCCCTAGAAAACCACTTCACAGCCACCTCCAAACCCTCATTTTGAAGCAGTCCTTTGTACACAACACCATAACCACCCTGCCCCAACTTGTTCTTCTCATCAAAATTATTGGTCGCCTTCTTCAAATCCTTGAATTCAAATTCCCTAGGTGTCCCCGGCAAGCTCTTCAACGCCCCCAATATGTTGATTGGCATAGACCGCTTCTTGCGGCGGCGATAATAGGCCACCGCCACGGCTGCAGCCACGGCCACGGCCACCGCCGGCAACCCAACCCCGAGCAAGATCTTGATCAACGGACCATTGTCGTCTGAAAAGTACTCCACAGTCAAATTCCATCTGAGTACACAGTTGAGCTCTATGGTGTTCCCAGTGGATGCAGAGAACCCAAAATACGAGATCTGATCCACCACCCCTCTCAGGTCGAGAGCCTCCTCGAGGACCGGCGAGTCAGGCCTGGGAGGGGTCGCCCCATCTTTCTCGGGTTGTTCTATGATGTAAACTTGTATGGTTTTTTTCACGCCATCGTACTCAACCCAGACGTTGTAAAACTTAGCTCCAGTAGGAGATAATTGGATGCCGGATTGGTTCAAGGACTCAGCTTTTTTAGATTCGACACTGTTGATATTGAGTCCAACGTGATTGTCATCTGGGTCGTAGTCTTGTTTAAAGGTGTCGAACTCGACGGCGATGAGGCGGTTGGAGGCTAAGCCGTCGGTGGTGGAGTTAGTGAGGCCTAAATACTGGCCGGAGCTGTTGTTAGGGAGGTTGGTATCGGGGACTAGAACGAAGGCAAGTCCTTCACCGGCAGGATTGTTGTTTATGCGAAAGATGTTGATGAGGAAAGAGGAGTTGAAAGAGGCGACCCTGTCTGAGGAAGAGGAGTTGTTGTTGGGACCTTTCCAGAGCTTGAATGGTTGTTTGAGGAGGACTCTTCCGGACTGGTTTGTTAAGTTGATGATATCGGAGATTGTGTCTGGGGTTACTTGGAGGGCGTCTCGGCCGATGAGAGAAGCAGGGGTTGTGGCGAATAGGGTGTTGTCGTCGAAGGCTCCGTATTTGGCAGTGAAAGTTTTGAGGGAGTTGGCGGAGACTGGAGGCGGCGCCGCCGCCAAACAGAGGAGGACGGCGAGTATGCGGAGGTTGGCCGCCAATCCCATTGTATTATTGAGATAGAGAAGAAGAGATGAAAATGGAGATGATGATGAGGGAGGTTCGGGAGAGAAATAAATCGATGGAGTCGTCTTTGACGCACGCGGAGATTGATTTCCTCTCTTTCAACAATAAAAAATATTACCAGAGAGACGGGTGATTATTCAGTACTGCTGGAGTATCGACATATGGTGCTTCATAATGTTTTGATTGGTGGAGAGACACAAGGGCCCACGATTTATGTTGGAGATGGAGGACAACATGGAACTAACTGATTGGTGATTGGTTTGGAGTATGAACACGTAGTGCTCCGGAAGTATTAAATAATTTCCCCCAGAGAGACAGAAACGGGCTTGGTTTTACCAGGACAAATAGACCCGTCGATCTTGAAGTGTCATTGCTTGGAACTTGCATTTTTACACGGTTGGGGAAAAATTATTCACTCAGTTTTCATTTCTAGATTTCATTTTTAATTTTTTTTTTCATATTTTTTTTATTAATTTTTTTTAATATTTTAAGTAAATTTTTTATTTTTTAAATACACCTAATATAAACACACTTAAAAGTTATAATATTTGTGATTTTTTTTTTAAAAAAAAATCATTAAATATCAAAAATACAAAAAAAAAAAAAAAATTCAGTACATTTTTTTTTATATTTTTGTGTATTTATTAATTTTTTAAAATATCTTTTCATAAATATTTTACTATTTAGATCCATTGAAGTAAAATGCATTTAAAAAAAGGATTATTTACCAATAAATCCTACTCTACAAACTGTTATACCAAATAGTCTCACTTTTATTCTATTATACCAAATAGTCCTGCTGGTGGGTTGATTTGGTCCTTTCTGTGTTTTTTTTTCATTTTTGTTTAACTGTGTGGACGAGAGTGCCCTTGGTTTAATGTGGGACTGTTTTGCTGGATTAGTTCCTTTTTTGGAAACGTTGCTCATTCCGTGTGTACTGTGTGCGTTGTGTGCTATGTGTGTGTATCATTGTGTGTGTGTGGGTGTGTTGAAGCCAGCAGTGTGTGTGTCTTAGAGAGAGAAGAGAGCTGGGTTTGGTGTGTGCTGTGTGTGTGTGACCACCACCGTCGCCGTCCCCGGCGGCACACCACCACCACCTCCCCCCACTCCACAACCAACTACCTAACCAGCCTCAGCCTCGGCCTCGGCTACGCCATCGCCAATGCCATCGCCCTCGGCTTCCTTGTCCTCCTCTCCACCCTCCTCCTCGTCTCCTACGTCTGCCTCTGCCATCGCCGCCACCGCCAAAACCTTAACCCTAGCTCCACCACCACCACCGCAACTTCTTCCGACAACGGCATCATCCTCCCCTGCATAATCTTCGTCGCTGAAGACGACAACGAAGACAGCAATAACGCCGTCGTAGGGCTCGATCAAGCAGTCATCAATTCACACCCTAGGTTTCCATTCTCGAAGGATCGAGGCGGTGGAATCAACGATTCGATGTGTTTGATCTGCTTGTGTGAGTATAGAGATGCTGAGATGCTGAGGCTGTTGGGTGTAATCCTCTCCCTCCCTCAACCGTGTGTGTGTCAATGGTCCCTTGGGTTTGTGTCCAAATCTATCAATGTGTATGCATCTCGGTCTTGAGTGTGTGTTGTGAATGTGTGTGTCTGCCTGTGTGAACCCCCAAACACACCAACCCAGCCCAAAACAAAAACCCCTTATAGCGCTTTGCCATTCTGTGACACCCTCACAATGTATCACCTGCAACACATCACACATCCATTCACTAATTATGCACGTGAGACACACATGCACCACACCCAATTTTCCCCTAACAACCGCATCAATAACGATTAAATGAGGGTAATTACGTCCCTCACAATTGAATGGGACTAAACGGTTTAGTAGAATAAAAATGGGACCAACTGGTTCATAAATTCAAATTTTGGGATTTATTAGTAAATCTCCCTTAAAAAAAGTGAAAATTTTGCTTAAAATTTCAAAAATATTCACTAAAAATAAAAAAATACGAAAAATAAAAAACTCAATTTCTAGAAAATTGAAACCAAACACACTGATTAGCTTTTTCAGGTGCACCACGTCATCATATTTCTAACCAATTACAAATATTCATGTCTTTTAATCATCTCCTACAAAATTGTGGATCTCATTTCTTTTCTTATGATTGTAACCCCATGAAATGAAATTTTCATTGACATAAATTATGAAAAAATAATGGATAAATTATATTTACTTCCCCTTAGATTTCTGACAAATATAGGGGCTTCCTATGTGGTTTGAATAATTACAGTAACCTCCCTTACTTTACCTGACAATGTCAAGATTCCCCCTTCTATCAAATTGTTTTAAACGGTGTTAACTTTTTCTATTATAAATTACCTTATTGTCCTTCCTTTTAAAATATTAAAAAACGTTTTTGGATTGAAGGACAGGTTTGGAAGAAACAAACAGTATTTGGAATAGTATTTTTGGATTTATTTTTTTAAAATATTAAAAAATGTTTTAATTTTTTAATTTTAAATATATAATTTTTATTTAAATATTTTAAATATTTTATTTTTTTTAATTTTAATATTTTAAACTCAAAACACAACTTCACACTCAAATCATAACCAAACACATAATTCAAAACTCAATTCAAAAGTTATTTTCAAACCTCATAACCAAACATATAACTCGACACTCTACACTACTTTCAAAACTCTATACTCAAATCGTAACCAAACACATAACGAAAAAATTAAAATATTTAAAAATATATTTATAAAATAAAATAAAATATTTAAAATAAAAATTATATATTTAAAATAAAAAAATAAATTTTTTAAAATTTTAATATTTAAAAAATATATTTAACATAAGTTTGTATTTTTTTAAGTTTGTGTTTGGTTATGAGTTTTGAAAATAATTTTTGAATTAAGTTTTGAGTTGTGTATTTGGTTAAGACTCTATGAGTTTTGAAAATATTTTTGAAAATTTCTAATTGGAATTGTGATTCTAAAAGAGAACCAAACATGTTTCTAAAAAAAATCTTTTTTTGGAACATGTTTTTACTCAAAACTCAATTCAAAAATTATTTTCAAAACTCATAACTAAATACAAACTTAAAACTCAATTCAAAATTTTTTTCAAAACTCAAAACCAAATTTTTTCAAAAACTCTATTTTAAAAGATAAAAAATTTCAAAAAAAAATTATTTTATTTTTTAAAATTATTTTTAGAATCATGATTTGAGTGTGGAGTCATATTTTGAGTTATGAGTTTAGAAAAAGAAAAAAATTGGTTATAAATTTTGAAATTTTTTGAATTTATTTTTTTAGGGTAAATATTTTATATTTTAAATATTTATTTATTTATTTTAATGTGCATTATATTTCTACATATATGTGTTGTATTTTTTTTAATATTTTAAATATATTTTTTAAATATTAAAAAATTTTAAAATTTTTATTTTTATTTTAAATATAATATATAGTTTTTATTTTAAATATTTTATTTTATTTTATAAATATATTTTAAAATATTTTAATTTTTTTTGTTATGCATTTGGTTACGATTTGACTGTAGAGTTTTGAAAATAGTGTGGAGTACTGAGTTATGTGTTTGGTTATAAGATTTGAAAATAATTTTTGAATTGAGTTTTGAGTTATGTGATTGGTTATGATTTGAGTGTGAAGTTATGTTTTGAGTTTAAAATATTAAAATTAAAAAAATTAAAATATTTAAGAAATAAAATAAAATATTTACATAAAAATTATATATTTAAAATAAAAAAATAAATTTTTTTAAACATTTTTAATATTTAAAAAAAATAAATCAAAAAATACTGTTCCAAACACTGTTTGTTTCTTCTAAACCTGTCCTCCAATCCAAAAACATTTTTTAATATTTTAAAAGGAAGGACAATAAGGTAATTTATTATTAATTCACCATAGCAAAAAGTAACACCATTTGGAACAATATGACAGAAAGAAGAATCTTGACATTGTCAGGTGCAATAGGGAAAGTTATTGTAATTATTCAAACTACAAGAGAGGTCTCTGTATTTGTCAGAAACCTCAGGAGAGGTAAATGTAATTTACCCAAAAATAATTAATTTAGTGTGAGTTTTTAAAATAAATTATAAATCAATGGTAAAATTTATCAACTTTAATAATTGAAGTGATAAATTTTTTCACGACATTATAATTTATTATTATTATTTTATCTTATCACTGGTTTGTAATTTTTCGATAAATTATTGGGTGCCGCGAGTAATGTTACACAGGGTCTTAATTTAGAACCCTACTTCCTTCTAATCTATAATTTGTTTGATCCATAGGTCCGTTGTGGGTCATATTAATTTAAATTGTTTATTTTTAAAAAAAATTCTCATATATCATTTTTTTTTAAAAAAAAAAAATGGAGGAGGAAGAGGTCACACATGAGTTAGCGCAATATGAATATCAAAATGAATACAAATGTGAGTGGATGAATAAGTAAGTAATATCCGATTAACTTGATTTTAACAAACATTTTATATTTGATATATTCTAAAATATGAACGGTTTAAATTATTAAAATAGATCCCAAAATGAGCTCATTTAACCGTACAACAGTCGTTATTGCGTAACCCGCGCAACAGCATCCCCACTCTCAAGGTGGAGAGGTCAGATGAAGGTTGAGGATGACAGAAAAGGATAGAGAACTAGCAGACAGTAGGAAGAGAATAAAGCCTCCGACCCCAGTGGAGGTGCTGGGAGTCGTCCGTGATTGGCCAAAAAAAAAGTTTTTTTTTTTTTTTTTTTGTTTCCAGCCAACCCCAAGCCGACACGTGACACTTGGGGAGGGGGGGTGGTTCACTGGGGGTGCCCCCAGCTGGGGTCTGAAGCACGGCTGGTAGGAAGAAGTGGAAGTGCGGTAGCTAGTGCCGATGAGAGTATGGAATGAGTTGGCTGACAAGGCTAGGGCTTGCAAAGTGAAAAAGAAAACAGATGATAGAAAAGAAAGAGGGAGAATAACAATTTCATAAATATTCTCACTCTAAACATTTTGAATAATTCTAGTGTAATTATTTTTGATTTTCTATCAATTTATAATTATTTTGCATTCTTTTTATCTATTTGTAATTTTTTCAAAGATTTGTGTGTGCAATGTCAACATTTTTTCTTT